ACCAGAGGCTGCCTACATCTCGGGGTTCCCCGTAGGGCGCAGAATCCTGGCCAGGGCCTGTCCTGCCCTGGCTGTGCCGGGACGCCCGGTCCCTGAGGGTGCGGTGGAGCCAGCCCCAAGGACAGCAGACCCATGGATTTCACTTGCGCTTGTCATTAAAACTGGCTGGTCTCTGCTGCCGGCGTGGCTCAGTGGTTGAGCATCGACCTATGAACCAGGAGGTCAGGGTCCGATTCCCAGTCAGGGCACAGGCCCAGGTTGTGGGCTCCATCCCAGTGTGGGATGTGCAGGAGGAGGCAGCCAATCCATGATTCTCTCTCATCATGGATGTTTCTATTTCTCTCTCCCTCTCCCTTCCTCTCTGAAGTCAATAAAAACATATTTAAAAAATGAACAAACTGGGTGGGTCCCGTTCTGCCCTCCCCCTGCCTGTCAGGCCCCTGGGCCTCCTGCCCTGCCCACTTCTCTTAAGGAGCAGCCAGACCCCAGGGCACACAGAGCAGCAGTGGGTCCCCCACTTACGGGAACGTGTCCTGTGAAAGCCCGGCCTCCCCTGTCCACCACCTGGGCACCATCTGGGGACGGTGGGCACCCCCTCCAGACTCAGCTCCCCTGTTCCCGCTCAGCAGCACCCCCAAACACCGGGCCTGAACCCCGATCCCAGGGAAGAAGGCCACCCCCCCACTGGTGCCCACGTGGCGGCCAGCTCAGCGGTCACCTGCTTGGGGAAGACCTTCCCCAGCATTTTATCCTGAAAATGTTCGAACCGGCAGCAGAGCTGACAGCATTTCACGGTGAACGACGCCCTGAAGCCGCCCGCCTGGAGCCCACCCGACACTGTCCATCGGCTGCGCTCCCTCTGTCCGAGCCCCCATTCCTCGCTCGCACCGTCACCGCGCATTTCCCCCAAATACCTTCCTTTCCCATCAGGAGCCAGGCCTGGTGCCTGTTTGCAGACTTGTATTTTGACACGAAATTGACACTCAATGACACCTCGGATCTTGCATGTGCCATCAGGGCTTCTGACCCGTGAAGGTGCTGATGTCATCATCAACCTGGGGTGTCCCCCCTCGCACACCCTCAGATCCCCCCCCTCCATCCCCTTCGCCTTGCCTGGAGCTTCCTGTGCCACGCAAGGCTCGGGACTGGCCACCAGGGGGCAGGCATGACGCTGCTGCTGGCCTCCGGTTTCCGGTTTCTCCACCTGCTCAGCTCGAGGCTGGACCCCTCCCTACAGCACAGCCCTGGCGGGGGAGGCCCTGTGCACCCTCGGGTGGCACCCCGTCCGGATGGAACCCCGGGACCTGCTGGCGGTGGGCCCCTCTGGGCTCCCCACTGAAGCTCGGGGACCGTCCAGAACAGCACCCTTAGCAGGCGGCCAAGCAGAGGCCCAGGCGGAAGCAGTGACCCGTCAAAGGCCCTGAAGGGAGAGGGACTGAGGTGGGTGCTGCCGGGTCTGAATTTCCCACCCAAAGTGCGGGCCTGGCCCACAGCAAACTGGGGATCATTTCCGACATCTTCAAAGCCCCCTTTTTTTTATTTCAGAGAGGAAGGAAAGGGAGAGAGAGAAACATCAATGGTGAGAGAGAATCATTGATCAGCTGCACACCCCTCACTGGGGGTCGAGCCTGCAACCCGGCAAGTGCCCTTGACCAGAATCGAACCTGGGACCCTTTAGTCTGCAGGCCAATGCTCTATCCACTGAGCCACACCAGCCAGGGCCTTCAAAGCCCTTTGACTCACACCTCACTTGACCTCACAGCTCACCTTCGAGGTTCACACTCTCATTTCTCAACTGAGGAAAACGGGGCTCAGGTGCCAACACTCGGGCTCTTTCTGCCCCGAGACCCTGGGAGACGGGGAGTTGAGCCCCACGACCACCCTCCACCCTGACCACCAGCTCAATCCACTGTCCCCACACCCAGGTGCTCTGACACAGGGATGCTCTGACACAGGGATGCTCTGACACACGGATGCTCTGACACACGGATGTGGCAAAACACAGCACGTGCCCGGCCGGCCTGGCTCAGTGGTTGAGCGTTGACCTAGGAACCAGGAGGTCACAGTTTGATTCCCCATCAGGGCACAGGCCCGGGTTGTGGGCTCCATCCCCAGGGGGGCCTGCAGGAGGCAGCCGATCCATGATTCTCTCTCATCATGGATGTTTCTCTCTATTCCCCTCTCCCTTCCTCTCTCTGAAATCAATAAAAACATTTAAAAATATTTCCATAAACCTTTCCCAAAATATCTACTCTACAAATACCGATGATAAATCCCTCCATGTTGGGCTGCATTTGTGGGTAAATTCATGCATGGCCAGCGGGCTTGGGAGCAGATGGCACGGCTGAGCCTCCCACGGTGGGTACAGCCGGTGCCAGGGCTGGAGGGAGTTGCACCGGCCTCACCCCTTGGAGTCTGAGAGGGAGGCGGGCAGGACAGCCAGCTAGAGCCAGTGGCCAAAAGGAGGGAATCCCAGGGTGACCGAGACCAGGGCATGTGAGGAGGGGTCAGCTCACCGCAAAGCGGTTACAGCTCAGACCATCGCTGCTCAGTGAGGGGCCACCCGGACCCCAGCGGTGGCCGCGGGAAGGGACGGAGGCAGGAGCACAGGCACAGACGATTGTGTGAAGAATTCCTCGCCCATCAGGAGCAGGGAGAGAGCGTGGCCGGCATGGCATTCCCCGCCAAGGAAGCCCCTGCAGCCCACGCGGGGGGACCAGGGCTTTCGCACAGGGCTGAGGGGCCCTGTTGGCCCGGCTCAGCGGTTAGAGCATCAGCCCACACACCAACAAATCCTGGGTTCAATTCCCCGTCAAGGGCACATACCCCGGTTGCAGGTTTGATTCCCTGGCCCTAGTTGGGGCGTGTGTGGGAGGCAACCCATTGATTGTGTCTCTCACATCACATCGATGTTTCTCTCTCTCCTTCTCTCCCTTCCACTCTCTCTAAAAATCTATGGAAAATACCCTCAGATGAGGATTGACAAAGCACACGCGGCCGAGGGGACTGTTGGACACCCGCCTGCCGAGCTCAGGAAGTGCCCCTGGGGTTCCTGCCTTCCTCAGGTGACGGTTTCTTTAAAGGCTGTGGCTCAGGCCAGCGTCATTACTGCGGCCGCCTCCGTCCCTGATCACAGGGCCTTGCTGTGCGGCCTCCAGCCTGCGGAAGGGCTGGGTCTAACTGGGCGAGGAGCAGACGGGGAGCAGGTGGGGCAGGGTCTGAGCCAGACGCCTTCTGGAAGGAGTGGGGGAGGCAGAGCTGCGTCCCCAGGACGTGTCGGAGGGAGGACAGCATTCTGGGATTTTCTCGATGAAATGAGAAGTCAGAACAGATGGCCATTGTCCGGCTCCATGGAGAGACCACAAGTGACCTCAGGGGCGGTTGGAAAGGGCACACCTGTTCCCCCAGCAGCTGAGAGGAGAGCCTGCCTGGAGGCCTTGTGAGCACAGCTGGGCCTGCCGAGCTCAGGGCAACTGGGGGGGGGGGCCTGACCCCTGCAGCCCCTGCGGCTGGGGACAGCCCCCCCTGCTGTGTAGGGCTGGAGGGACCCCAGTTATGGCCTCCTCAGGCCTGTTTACCATGCAGCTGACACACTTTTCAACAGTTCTGTTTCTATTCGTTGGGTTGGGGTTTCAACGCGCTCGTCCAACAAACATGTCCCCCAAAGACAGACAGGGTAGGTCCGGGTTTTACATGTCTGCTCCCCCTCAACCGGGTCTTTACAGGACCTGGAGCCCACACAACCCGAGCGACACCATCCAGGGCAAGGCCGCGCCGGAGCTTCGCACACCTCCCTCCCTGACGCCAGCGCGGGGCCTGTCACCGCCAGGCGGAGGGTGCGGCGGGGCCGGGGTGCAGTGAGGACACAGACACCGTTGGGGGCTCCTGGGCCACGTGGGACGCTGGCTGTGCGGACAAACAGGTGGGGTTAGAGCCTCCGGCCTCTGGAAGGGCCCAGGGTGTTATTTTTTATATTTTATTTTTTCAAATCCTCACCTGACGATATTTTTTTCCATTGAGAGAGACTGGAAGGGAGGCCGGGGGAGAGGCAGAGAGAGAAACGTCGATGTGAGAGACACATGGACTGGTTGCCTCCTCCTCTCTCCTCGGCCTCAGAAGAAAAAGAACACCTTCTGCCCCCCCAGGGTCTGGCCCCTCCCCTGAGGCAGCCTCATGCTTCCTTCTGCCACCTACAGTCCTCCTCCACCCTGTCACCTCTGTCACCTCGGCAGCCTCCAGCCCACACTCCGGCCCAGGGATCTCTCGTTAGCCCTGTGGCATCTGCCTTCCACACTCCCCGCGCAGTGGCAGAGTCAGAGACAGGAGTTAGAAAGGGAGACTGGAGCCCGGCCAGCAAGGCCCAGTGGTTGAGTGTCGACCTATGAACCAGGAGGTCAGGGTTCGATTCCCGGTCAGGGCACAGGCCCGGGTTGCGAGCTCAATCCCCAGCGTGGGGCGTGCAGAAGGCAGCCGATCCATGATTCTCTCTTATCATTGATGTTTCTGTCTCTCTCCCTCCCTCTCCCTTCCTCTTTTCACGAAAAGAAAGGGAGCCTTGGGCTGCAGCCTCTGCTCCTCTCCTCAGGATCTGGGTCCTCCCAGCACCTTTCCAGGGCGAGTGGGAAGGGTCCATGCCGTCTCCGCATGGACCCGAACCTCGGACCCCTCGGCCTCTCTCTCCCCCGATCTCGTTCGCCTGTCCCCGACTGCTCTATGCAGCTCTTGGAAGCGGACGTCAAGCCCACCCCATCCACTGGCAGCTCCCAGGCCTGCATCCCTGCTGCTGGCCCTGTTCTTCGCTCGCTTGTCTGGGTCCACAGCTGCGTGGACGCCTCCCCCGGGCACCCAGCCAGCTCCTCAGGTTTAACGTGCCGGCACTGAGAGGCCCTCATTCATGCCGGATTTGCCACCAGGCGGCCACAACAGGTGCTTAAGGCCACCGAGAAGGAATATACTTCCGGGGAAAATGTTTAATATTCCAAAAATGCATCAAAGCAGCAGCTCATTCCGTAGCGGAGTTTATTGGGACTTTGTGGGAGGGGGCACCCCACATTTGCAGCATTGGGCCCTCTAAGGTCTCAGTTCAGCGTTCCCTGCCATCTCCAACAAGAACTCACACTTGCCCGACCAGCACGGCTCCGCGGTTGAGCGTTGGCCTACGAATCAGGTCACAGTTCGATTCTCGGTCAGGGTACAGGCCTGTGTTGTGGACTCGATCCCCAGTGGCCGGTGTGCAGGAGGCGGCTAATCAATGATGCTCTCTCATCATTGATTTCTCTCTCTCTCTCTTTTCCTCTTCCTCTCTGAAATCAACAGAAATATATTTTTAAAAAACATATTAAATCAATAAAACAAAAACTCATCCTTCTGGAACAGCCGTGGGAGCTGGTCACTCACAGCATCCTCTCTCATCCCCATGTTGGGTTTTTAAATCTTGATCTTCTCCTGCCCGAACCCCACATTTCCCTCCCCTCTCCACCAGCCATGTCCAGTCCTGCCTCCTCACTGAGCGCACACACGCTGTCCTCGATCACGGGCCACCTCCTGGGAACGCAGAGGGGAGGCATCACACTCTATGCACACAGCTCCAGGGGCTCCCCCTTGGCTCCAGTCCAACCTCCCTCCCACCTACAAGTCAGGTCTCCCCGAGTCTAGCCACCTTCTACTCTGTTGTTCATCACTCCCGCCGCACAGATCTGGGGCTCCAGCCAAACTAGACTTCTAGCCATCTGGGAACAAATGTTCCCTCTGCCCCACATAAGCTACATCCATCTCCACCTGTTGAGATCTGTCCTTGGAGGGTTAGCCAATAAATAGAACTGGGACAATTGGTTATTTGAAAGAAATGTTTTAGATTCTTCAGTTCATACCACACACCAAAATACATCCCAGCTAGACTAGAGTTCAACATAAAATATAAATATATAACCACATATATTTAAAAAATCTAACTGTAAAAATTCTGGAAAAACAAAAAACAAAACATGATTATTGAATATCATGATAGGGCAGTGGTCGGCAAACTCATGAGTCAACAGAGCCAAATATCAACAGTACAACGACTGAAATTTCTTTTGAGAGCCACATTTTTTAAACTTAGACTATATAGGTAGGGACACTGTTATTAACTTAATTAGGGTACTCCTAAGGCTTAGGAAGAGCCACACTCAAGGCGCCAAAGAGCCGCATGTGGCTCGCGAGCCGCAGTTTGCCGACCACTGTGATAGGGTATTCGATCCTACGTGTAAAAGGAAAGAATGAAACTTACAAGGAAACAAAGCAATTGCTGACCTTAAGCCGCCAGCTATTTCTCCAGCAAAGGGGTTTATTGGGAACAATAAATCAGGACATTCAGTCCAAAGGCAGGTGAACCGGGGTTCAGTCCAGAGACCAATGGAAAGGCACGTTCTTTTAGAGGCGAGGCTGCGGGCAGCGGGGCTGCCAACAAAGGATGCACCGGAGGAAACTGCGTTAGGAGGGTGGTGACCATCGTGGTTCCTGGAGGAGCCCCCCTCCTGCTGGGCAGTGCAGTAGGCCGTGCCTCCCGGGGAGAGGAGGGGGCACCTTCCGGTTCGGGGTAACATCTCTCCCACGGGCTCTCCCGTTCCCACCTAAAGGAGGTCCGTTCATTCATCTTCACACAGTCCATCTGACTCTAAATGAGAACTTGACTGTTAAAACCCAACTGGTAAGAAGGGGCCTGGTTGGCAGGACATCGGAGGCGGAGCTGCGTGGGCATCTTCCATGGCGGCCGGTGAGGCCTGACGTCACATTCCTCCCCCAGGGATTCACAATGTCCGACCCCCAGACTGGACGGTCCAGGCCCCAGATTCGTCTTCCCCCGGACCCTCCCGTGCTCGGCTGGAAGCTGTTCTAACTCGGTTTGAATGCGCGCGTTTCCCAGGGAGGCGGGCGTGGTGCCGAGGCCGGCACGGGGCTCGAGGGGTCCCGCTCCCAGGAACTAGGAAGGATCTGGCGGGGCCTCTTAGGAAACTGCAGCTTAGAGCTTCCTGTGTCCGTTTGTGTGTTTTTTATGCTTTATCTCGTTTACCGGCTATAAAACGCAATCGACTGGCATCCATCGCCAAAAAGGATTCACTGGAGAAGAAAGGCCT